TCGGCCGGCTGGCTTTGGGAGTAGCTGATGCTCTGGAACCGGCTGGGGCTGGGGAAGTCGCCTGGGAAGTGCCTCTCCCCTCAGCCCCTCTCTATCCCAGCCATCATCTCGCTGCCCTGGCTGTTGGTGGAGAGGGAACCCACAGAACTCGGGACACACCCTTTTCGCGATTGAAATCTGGCCGTCTTACTTTGGCCATTTTGATCTATGTTCTCTGCTCTGCCTTAGAATCAATTTCTGGCTCCCGTGCAGCACAGCTGGGGCCGGCTGTGAGGCTGATGCGGGTTTGTTTGAGGACGTGACTGGGTCGTTATATTTGTGCTTACAGAAGTTGATGTGTTTCCTTCGCAAGCCTGCATTCTGGTTACAGACAGAAATGGGAAACAACCCCACTTTTTTACTTTCCTTTTCTTCTCGTCTCTTTCCCCTCTCTTTTCTGTTTTCTTGTCTTCTCATTCGTTTTAAGCATATCCTTTACCCTTTCGAATCCCTTCCCCCGTTTCTCTCCCCCCCCCCTTTCATGTTTAACTAAGAATCGAATTTCCAGCTTGCCCTCTGCTTTCTTTAAAACCCACAGTCGTCTCTTTGGTAATGAACACAGCAGTAAAACTTATCCCAAGAGGTCATACTTAAACAGGAAATGAGCCTGCGGAGATCTGTTAGCTATGTGCAGTCTTTGGTTTCTGACATTTTTGTGCAGTTTGTTCTTTTTCTGAGAATCCTTCAGCATAGTTTTTTGGCAGATTAAATTGATTAATCAATCAATCCACATGCTGGTATTTTAGAAAAATAGCTTTGCTCAGACCCCTTTTTGTTAGTTGCCTCTTCCTAGTCCTGTCACTCATTTTGCACACCCATACACGACTTTTTGGTATTTTGAGCCAATCTCAATATGTAGTCCAGGCTGGCCTTTAGCTCATTCTTTTCCTGCCTCAGCTTCCCAGTACTGGAATTACAGGCGGGGGCCATTAAGTCTTTAAGAGCCCACAGTTAGGGTCTGGAAAGATGGTTCAGAGGTTAAGACATATTGATCTTCTGAAGGACCTGGTTTAATCCCCAGTACTCCACATCAGAGCCTACAACCATCTGTAACTCCACTTGTATCTGGTATCCTCTTCTGGCCTTCACAAGCCCTGGACACATGGTAAATATACAGACAAGCTGGGACACACATACACATAAGTAGAATTTTTAAAAAGAGCCCACAGTTACAGTTAGAATCCCATCTCTGGCTCTACAGTGTGCATTCCTTTGTATTCCAGATCTTAGATCTTCCTTGCCTTGCATTTCTAGTTTTTCTTAGAATGAGATTGATGGTGGCCAGGTAACTCCATGATTATTCTAGCTTTGTGTGTGTGTGTGTGTTGTGTGCAGTTGGGTCAATGCATGTTCATGTGTTGAACATGCACGTGGAAACCTGGAAGTTAATGTCATGTCTTCCTGGGTCACATCTGTTGAACCATATCCCTTGATCCTCCTTCAATAATTATAAAAAAAAAAAAATTCATTTGGGAAACCTTGGCTAAACGTCTATCATTCCAACCCCTGCGCTAGGCAAAAACAAACAAAAGTGAGTTCTTGAGGCTATTACCACCCTCTATAGCTGAATTTTCTTTCATCTTTGTGGTAGACCATTAAGCCATATTTTGCCTGATATTAAATACTTAGTGGTCAACATTAAATACTTATAGGTCAGATCCCATCTCTATTCTTGGTTTTCAGTGTAATCATAACTTTTTTTTCAGGCTGGGGCTGTAGTTCAATAATTAAATGCTCACCTAGCAAGTGTAAGGACCTGGGTTTGATTCCAGCACCAAAAAGCTAAGACAATTTTTAACTCCCAGCTACTGGCTTATTTAAACAACAGGTCAGTACAACAGAAAGGGCCTAAGGGCCTATATCATGTAGGGACAATACTTTTTAAACTTAACATTCGTAAATCACTATACCCGTTCATTTTGAGTGAAGTCTGGAATTTACATATCTCAAAGTTGGTAGAAATCACACTTTGAAAACCAAGATGGGAAGATAATCCTGAAGATATTTTAAAGTGCTTAGGATGGATTTTTTTAAGACGGGTGCTGATAATTGTGATATCCGATATATATTAAGGACCTGTCTAATTTTCAATTTAAAAAAATTTGTTTCTGACAGGGTCTCACGTAGCCTAGGCAGGTCTCCAATTTATAATGTAGCCAAAACTAGCCTTGAACTCCTGATCTTTCTGCCTCCACATCCTGAGAGATAGTCATCTGTTCTCCCAGATCATCTGTTTCTGTACTATTGGAGTGTATGTGGTGTATCTGCATAGAGTTCTTGCAATTTTGCCCATTTATTTGGAATTTAAGGTGAGCTGAACACAGAAAGATCAACTAGCCCTAAGCACGGTTATCAGTAGGGGCGAGTCTCCAGGTGTAAATGTGTAACTGGGATAGAGATCAACAGAGGGAGGGGAAAGATTAAAGAGATAGAGATAGTGGGAAAAATGGGTTTATTAACAGTGTTCTATGTCAGTCTGCACTCTGCTGTTACTGTTTAGGCTTGAATTCATGAACTTCCTGCCTTTGCTTCCAGAGTGCTAGCATGTGCCACCTCTCAGGAAATTTTGTTTTATTTTGTTTTGTCATGGGTTTTACTTTGTAGCCCAGTCTGCCTGGAACTCACAATGCATGGTTTTGCTCACTACAGCAGCCTTCTCCACTCAGCCTCTCAAATGCTGGAGTTACAAATGTGAGCTACCACACCTAGCTCGGTTTTCCCGATTAGAACTGTCCAGGAGGACATTATTGTGTTTTGGCTATAATTGTAGCCAAAGCAGTGTGTCATTACTGGTCATTGACCTACCTTGTTGACATTGGAATTACATTTGCCCTTCATGGTTTTACGTCAAATCCTTTTAAAATTTTAAGTGTAAAATCATGTTGAAAGGAAAACAATATAGAAAACAGAAATGTTATTTAATTGTGATGGTCCATTCGCCTTAGATATTAAAATTGTGAGTCAAATTCTGTTTGCTAATTATTAAAAACAATTAAATCTGAGTATATACTCTTTTATCTGTCTGAAATCAAGTGTATATGTATGTATATATACTCACATGGAAGTGTGCGTTTGTGTCTAAGCCAGGTGCCTTTTGAGGGGACAGGGTCTCTCTATATAGCTCAGGTCAGTAAGGCTGACTAGTTAATCACTGAGTCCCAGGGATCCTCCTATCTCCTCTTCCCCCACTCTGAGATTACAAGTGCACCCTACCTGACTTTTCTATGGGTACTGGGGATCAAACTTTGGTCTTCATGTTTACATGGTGAGTACTTCACAGCAGAGTGGTCTCCACAGACCTCTGTCAGTTCCTTTTGTTTTGATAGTTAATGGTAATGAAGGAATAGAGGTTCAAATAATCCAAAATGGCAAATAGTTGTAAATGCATGCATTATAGTACTCTATAATTTCTTTGGGAACAAAATCATCAGCTCATATCTGTTTTGTTTTGTTTTGTTTTTGTTTTTGTTTTTGTTTTTTTCAAGACAGGGTTTCTCTGTGTAGCTTTGGAGCCTATCCTGGCACTCGCTCTGGAGACCAGGCTGGCCTCGAACTCACAGAGATCCACCTGCCTCTGCCTCCCGAGTGCTGGGATTAAAGGCATGCGACACCAACGCACGGCAGCTCATATCTTGAAAATAGAATTTTTACATTTATTTATTTAGTGTGTGTATAGGCACCCATGTACCATCATGTATGTGTGGAAGTCACAGAACAACCTGTGAGAGTTGGTTCTCTCCAGCATGCACATCCAGGGAATTTAACTCAGGTCATCAAACTTGGTGGCAAGTACCTTTACCTGCTGAGCCATCTTGGTGGCCCCATCATTAACCTATATCTTGAAGTGGAATGCTGCTTTTTTTATGATTAGTGTTTCTTACATTCTGACCAAGAAATTTAGACCTACCTTAAGGTGGTAAAGATACTCTGATTTCTTCTAATTCTCTTTTTTGCTTTTTGTTTTTCGAGACAGGGTTTCTCTGTGGCTTTGGAGGCTGTCCTGGAACTCACTCTGTAGACCAGGTTGGCCTCAAACTCACAGAGATCCCCCTCCCTCTGCCTCCCGAGTGCAGGTATCATAGGCGTGCACCATCATGCCTGGTTAGGTCCACTTTCTGTTCATTCACATCTTCATGTTTCTCTCTCATTAGTATACAATGATTTTATTGAAGCCAGGCACAGTGGTGCACACTTGTAATCTTAGCACTTGAGATACTTAGGCAAGAGGATCTTGAGTTTAAGGCCAGCTTGGACGATATATAGAAATCCTATCTCAAAACAACTTCGTTGAAATATTTGTATACCATACAGGTTACCCATTTAAAATTAATCCCAAGAAGGAAAAGAGACAGTAATCCCTGCAATATAATCCAGCACTTGGTAAATGGAATCCAAGGCCAGTCTGGGCTAAATGAGACTGTTTCAGAGCAATTGCAACAAAATAATAAGCCTGTGGCTGTAAAAATCAACAGATTTTAATGTATTCTTAAGAGTTGAGCAGCCTGTACTGCAATCCATTTTAGAACATTTTTCTCATGCCAGAAAGAAACCCCTTACCCACTAGTAGTCACTAAGTCTCTAGATACTTCACATAGATCAAATCATACAGCACAGGATCTTTTGTGACTGGCTGCTTTCACTTGTACTCTTTGTTGTTGTTTTCACAGGTCACTGTGTAGTTCAGTCTAAGCCTGAAACTCAC